GTGTTCGTCTATATTAGTCCCTAAAGTATGTTGAAGCAACCTTATTTATAGTTTGTTTTATAAGTTTATAAGTTATTTTTAAACTATTTTTAGTTTTTGTAGTGTAAAATTGGGGAAAAATAATGCATTCAAGATCAAATGATGTGTTGCAAAAATAATTTAAAAAAACAGAAAAACGGAAGAAATTTTATTTGATATGCATTAAATTGATGCATTTAAACTAATTTAATATACATTCAGACTAGTTTAATATTTTAAATGTCCTTCTTCATTTTTCCTGTACAATTTTATTTGATCATTTCTCCCAGCATGTTATTTTGGTTGTACTAAAATAAAATATATTCTTAGAGTGGTTTCAATTTGACCTTTTGTACTGACTAATCTTATGTGAAACCAATAAACAGGATCTGCACAAATACTGTATCATACAGTATGGGATCATATAGAAAGGATTATCTCAAAAGCAACGTGGGTTGTTTCTTTGAAATCTGTTAGCATGTATGAGCTCCTCGTCGCTTAGTACACTGAGGAAAATTACGGACGGAACAATTGTGCGCAGATGTTTTGAAAGAGAAAATGGAAAGAGTATGTTCTAGAGTGTGCTTTCCTGGTAAAAGCTTTGAAGGACACTAGTAAAATGCGTGTTCCTAGTTATTTTTGCTCAGCTAGACATTGTCAAGAGTAAAATGTGCTGCAAATCACCATAGTAACATCAGTTTCTCTTATTAGTGCACAAATGGCTTCAGTGTATAGAACCACTTGCTTTTATTGATGTAGAGTCTTGTGATCTGACATACAAATGGAAATCTATTACTGCAGTCCCTATGTAATGATTTTGAACAGCCTGAAAGGTCATGGAAAAAACGGTCGTTAGTCAAAATAGTGTGGGGGACCAGTATAGATGGGTTTTGAATTTGCACTTGATTGAAAACAAGGCTGTGGGGTTGAGGGATAGTTCACCCCAAACTGAACATTTAGTCATCATTGACTCAGAGTTTACTCCAAACCTGTCTGACTTTATTTCTCCTGTTGAAAACAAAAGAGTATATTTAAAGAAAGCTGAAGATCTGTAACTGCCATTCCATAGTATTGGTTTTTCTTACGACAAATGTCAAGGGTTAGAGTTTTTCAGCTTTCTTTAAAATCTATTTTATGTACAACAAGGTTTGGAAAAAGTATAGGGTGAGTACATTTATCTTTTTGGGTGAATTATCTCTTTAAGAAGAACATTTTGTTTGTACTCTCTGGTCACTTCACATAAAACTACAAGTTGTGATTATTTGTTTTAATATATTTAAATATTATAATGGGCATCACGGTGGCTCAGTGGTTAGCACTGTCGCCTCAAAGGAAAAAGGTCGCTGGTTCGAGCCATGGCTGGATCATTTGGGATTTCTGAGTGGAGTTTGCAGGTTCTCCCCATGTTTACGTGGGTTTCCTCCGGGTGCTCCGGTTTCCCCCACAGTTCAAAGACATGCACTATAGGTAAATTAAATAAACTAAATTGGCCGAAGTGTATGTGTGTGAATGCAAGAATGTGTGGGTGTTTTCCAGTGCTGGGTTGCAGCTAGAAGGGCATCCGCTGCATAAAACATATGCTTAGTGGTTCACTCCACTGAGGCCATGGATAAATGAATGAATAAATATTAAAACATGTTGAATATATTAGTAAAATACAAACATATTTGCTTTTAATTATTATTATTGCTTTTATGGTTTTAAATTGTGGGTTTAAAAAAAAAAAATATATATATATATATATATATATATATATATATATATATATATATATATATATATATATATATATATATATATATATATTATCTATGTCAGTAACTGTGTATTTTTATTTACTATTCATTTTTATGGCTTGTGTGGTAACAGAATTTAATTATGCTTTTATTGAATGTTTAACATAGAAATAATATCTACAGTTCATATACAGCAATGGAAAAATTAAGAGACCTCTTCAGAATTCTTAGTTTCTATTAACTGGAAGTAAATAGAGGTATGGGGTTGAGTGAAATGTTATTTGATTTATTGGTTACACTTTACAATAAAGTTGCATTAGAAAATTTTAGTTAATGCATCTACTAGCAGGAACAAACAATGTACAATACATTTATTACTGTATTTGCTCATGTTTGTTAACATTAGTTAATGGTAATACAGTTATTGATTGTTAGTTCATGTTACCTCGTTGTCCATTAACTAATGTTAACAAGTGTAATTTGGATGTTCATAGTACATTAGTAAATGTTGAAGTATGATTAATAAATGCTGTACAAGCGTTGTTCATTATAAGTTCATGTTAATAAATGCATTAACTAGCATGAACTAATGAATCCTTATTGTAAAGTGTGACCATTTTATTCTACGAATGATCCGATCTGATTACATTTCTTCCAAATTAAAAATATATTCATTTGTTGTGATCGAAAAATCAGGGTTTTTTTCAACCAAGCTCATTCTGATTACATACCCCTATATACATTTCTGGAGAGAGCAAAATACGTTCCAGGAGCTACATTTTTTTGCAGTTTTTATTGAGTCCACTAGAGGCTGCTGTGTAGGCATGGGACGTGACCGTTTTCAAGGTATACCGTGGTTTGGAAAAAGTCAAGGTTTTAAAACTGTCAATATTTTCTGTTATACCGTTCCTAAGGTATGTGTACGATTTTTTAATCTACTTTTTTTTTTTTTTTTTAAATAAATGAAGACAGATGAAGTCAATGATCCATTTGAATTATTTAGCCTGACATGTTTACTGCTCCAAAATATTTGAAATGTTCCTCAAAACAAAATATTATGTGTTCAAAAGGGAAAAAGTTTTTGCTTTTTAACCAGACATTTAAAAAGAATATATTTTAGAGCAGTAATCACAATACTGCGAAACCATGAAACCGTGATATTTTTTATTCAAGGTTATTAAACCATCAGAATCTTATCTCAGCCCATGCCTACTGCTGTGTATGCTTTTCCAGATCACAAATATTTCTCGCGAGTGCCATTTGTGCCTGCTGTTCTCACTTAAATCCACCAGAGGCCGCTGTCAACTGACTAATTTACTGACTGATTAACCGACAAATAACCCCACCATACCCCTTCCCTGAACCCAACCAATGGTATTTTGAAAAGCACAGATTGACCAGTGCCCACCCCCTTCCATAAACCCAACCACAGTGTTTTCAAAAGCAATCCAGAAAAAGAAAAGCCCCTTGATTTTTCCTACATTTTCAGATTTGACCACATTCTCACTCTGTTATTACCTTCTTTATTTTATTTTATTTTTTGGCTTTTGTTTTTGTCGTACCTGCTTTCTTGAACCGTTTTTTAACAGACTCGAACCCCAGTCAACTCGGATCTGTCTACCAACATACGTGTCATGCTCCTGGACAAACTGGTAACAGCAGAAAAGCTGTCCATATGGAGATAAGCAGTCAACTGGTAAGCGAGAAAAGAAACGGCATCATACGGCTTCGTAGCATTCGTTTTAAAGACGAAATGCAGCCATTTGTAGCTCTGGCTACAAAAATTGCGATCTCCAGAAACGCATATAGGGCTACGCTTTAAGAATGAGCCTATGTTGGTTATTCCATAGGGTTAGATTGTTTTAGTATGGATTTATTTATGAAGCTAAAACTTTGATAATGTGTTTAATTAACAAAATGCACAGTGTATAAACATCTGAAAAACCCTTTTTGACATTTTCTGGAAGAAACGTTATCATTAGTTTACTGGGGGGATGGAGGGGGTAAATACATTTTAATTTGAATGGAAGTCAGTAGAGTTGAATGGTGTAAAATATATCACAGAATCATCTGGTAGTCTGTGATGTGCTGCTGGACTGATAAATCAGTAGACAATTGTCAGGGTAGACATAATATTTCATTACGCGCAAATGGTAATGAGGCTGTGAGAGATGGATGTTAAAGTCTATTCAAGGCTGTAGTTCATGTCCAGGCACACTCCGAATCTGCGCAGAACTCTAGAGAGCTCATTAGAATTAGAAATGGATTGCATGTTTGTTTATTAAATATTTGACTAATTAGATAATGCTGTCAGCCTGTCCACATAATTGAAATGTGAAGGAGTCCACAGATTGTCTCTGGGGCTGGTCATGTGTAATTTGCACAAGCCACGTTTCCCTGCTTTTTATTTTTTATGCTCTGCAGTTATTTTAAAAGTACTAAGCGAGCAAATTCAATGTACACGTCAGTTCTGCTTTTCACCAACCATACGCTTCTACCTCTTACATCCTCATTTTCACACCCATCAAATGACTGTCGCAAGCGTAAAGACAAGCCCTGACATTCCTTCCCAACTCCATCTTCCTGTTGGTCTCCTGCTTGGCGTCCTCTAGCGCATGGATTCTCCGCACGAACTGAATAAAGTTGCTCTTTTTAGGAGCTTCTATGAGGGCCAGAGGGGGCTTTGAATATTCACCACATACTTAATGAGCTAGAGACAGCAGCGGCCATCAGTCATTTACTCTGTTTTTGTGGAGACAAAGGCGAGAATTTTGCCCTGGCATCTGCTGCTTGCACAATGCACTCTCTCTCTCTCTGTTTTTCACTCACTCGCTCTGGACTTTAATGTGGTTATGATTAGAGACGGGGCTGAGGGACGGGTTCGGGGGGTGGTGGGGGTCTCATATGTACTGCAGGGGGAGGTGCGTAAAAAAAGCAAGGCTGTTTGTGCGCAGTGCGTGCTGAAATATGAATCACAAAAGAGACAAAAAGGGGCCAGAGAGAATCAAATAAAAGTTTGTCCTCTAAGCAGATCAGAGCTGGCAATGCAAACACACAAACACACACATATACACACACACACTGTGGCCCCTCCCTGTGTCCCTCTCTCTCTCTCCCCCTTCTCGATCACTCTCTCTCTCTCTCCACCCCCCTCTGTGTGCGCAGGACTGAGGCAGTTGGTTCACTCCAGTGTGTCTGAGAGCCGCGAGTGCTATGTGGGGCTGTTATTTAGGTCTGTTACAACACGCTAGGAACAGCTCACCCCGAGCAGGCAGCACCGCAGATCAGCCGGAGAGAGGGAAAGAGAAACAAGCAGCGTGAGAGAGCGAGAAGGAAACGCTTACAAGAGCAAAAGCAGCAGGATCAGGCAGCACGTATATCCTGACTAGAGGAATTCCAGCAGGGAATTTAGCACTGTCGTAGCTGCGGGTGTTGTTATTGTTGTTTTTGGTGACGAGAGGCAATCGGAGGCGGGTGGGTGACCGGGACGCAGCATGTTCGACTGTATGGAGGCTCTGGGCATGGGTCCCCGCCAACTGTACGATGTCACCAACCGGGGAGCATGCATGCTTCGGAAGGCGAGTCCTTTCTATGCTGGACTGGACCCTTTTGCTTGGACCGGGACAGCCAGCGTACGCTGTAAGTCTTTTTTCATTTTCATCTATCAGGGGCCTGCCTTGTTTTGCACGTCGACCCAAACAAACCGCTAGGGCTGAGTCGATCGTTTTCCATGATTGTCACGAACAGAGTCTGGTTTCACCAACAGTGCGGGTAACCTGATTTTTGACCTTGTCAGTTGATGAAAAGTTAAACAGAAAGGAAGTAATGCGAGAGGGAGAGATGAAAGAGAGAGTGTTTGAGAGAGGGAGAGAAGTGGGTGGGGGGGAACCTGACACTGTGCTATAATTTCAGTCATGCAGATTGCATTTGTCTTCTTCACTTCACAATTGTGCCTGACAGCTCTGGTATCCCAGCATGCCTGACTACGGCTCAGCCCACACAACAGCATCAAACAAGCGTAAAAGTGAAAAAACGAGGGGACATTACTCAAGTGTGTGTGTCACAGATGAAACTCTTAGATTGGGAATTGGAAAACGGATTGGGTGATTAGACTGTGACAGGAAGCCAAATAGCCTGAAATAAATAGTATAGAATTGGCGTGAATGTATTGAGTGGAAAGTGCAGAGAAGATCTGGAGCGCTCTTTGTTTTTCTCCCTTTTATTCCTTGTGTTTCAATCATATTTTTCCTTGCTCTGTTCCAGACTTTAGACAGCTTTGGCTCTTAAAACAATCCTTTTTTTTAGCTTGAACCAAACTGGGGTCCATTTTCATAGGCGAGCAGATCGAGAGATACTTGATGCAACACTGAGCCGGAGAAAAGAAAACTCAAACGTTCAGTTCGGTAAACATCCCTGTTACCCTTTTCCCAAAATGCACAGCGCTCTCGCTGTTTTCCATTTGTATTTGTTGAAGCTTCTGCTTTGTGTTCCTCCTTCTCGGCCTCTGAGGGCGACTCATCTGTCTTCATTAATCGTGAAAGACACCAACGTTTCAGTGGCTGTCAGCCACACTGGGTTCTCTTTAATGAAGACAGATGCCCTGTCTGAGCTCGACCCGGAGGGGAGGGGAGGGAGGGAGGTCCATAATGCCTCTTCTCCTTGACCAGGGCCCTGATGATAACAAGATGAAATCTGTTTATTTAATCAGTCATGTCTCACCAACGCTACACAAGCTCAGGGCCCACATTGGAAAACAAGCCCTCCGATTGCACTGCCGCTGCTTCTCGAGTTCTGTTCCTTCCTGGTTCCAGGAAACAGTGGAGATGGAGAGTCGGTCGGACAGATCCCGCTGCCCTCGGGGAAGAGCAGGAACGGTGTACTGTTACAAGCCACCGTGCCCAATAGCCTCTGTAAACAAGACCGGCCTATCCGACCACAGGACACACTCACTAGTTACTCTTCATTGTCTACTTAAACCAGATTGATCAATGTTTTAGTCTGGTATTTAATTAGAAGCAGGCCAGCTGCAGTGCATTGTGGGTAGACTTCTCAGAGGATTTGTCTTGCTGTCTCTTGAAGTTTCAGGTTTTGTGTGTCTTTATTTGATTAGAGAGCTGCTCAGAGGGGGTAGGGGCACATTGCAGGCCACGACTTGAACCTGCGTTATCCACATGAGCACCATGTGTTAATATATCAAGTGGTCTACTTGTGATAGAGTTTTGGCAACTGTTTTTGATTTTTTTATGTCTTTGTACTTTGTTACATTATATCCCATGTGTAAGACTTTAGTGGTGTTTGTGTCTGTGTGATGTGCTCAAACTCTTTATTCTAGATTAGAGATGCCCAAACTAGGGCCTGCGAGCCAAAGTTAGCCCATGGTAACCTTTGATTGGGACCCCATCCCATCTGAGGACAGAGGGAGATTGATGGGGATGGTTTCGAGATTGTCTATTCAAATTTAATGTAACCCTTTGTTTGTTTGTTTGTTTTATTGTTAAAAGCTGACAGAAATGTATTTTTCAATTTTATGGTGTAAATGAATCAGATTTTGTTTAAATGTACATACTGTCACCCGACAATGCAGAGAATTCAGTGAGCAAATCAAGTCATAGACAGATTCTGCTTGACTAGTGTATTTAGCATTGAACTCCACTCCTATAAATGTGATTGTTTTTTGTTTTTATTGCAATATGTTATCATTCAAAAAGCTATACTGTGCTAGTTAATATGATTTATAGTAATGTTTACTATTTATTTTGAAATATATTGAATAATTAGGAAATTAACCGTGACAACTTTAATGTAAAACAGTTTGGTATATTTACCTTCGGCCCACAGCTCTCAATGATATTTGGTTTTTGGCCCTTCATACGAAAAAGTTTGGACACCCCTGATCTAGATTATGCAGCTGATGTGGCGTTGCAGTTCAAAAGATTGGGGGCAGTGAGAAATTAATGTTTTATTCATCAAGGCTGCATTGAATTAATACAAACTGAAAGTAAAGACTTGCATTGTTGCAATAAAAACTGCTGACCTTTGAATGATTACATAATCAGAATAACATTTGATTACACATTATTTTAAGGTGTCCATTACAGTGTGAAACTATTTAACTACTGAGTAATATTAATTAATTGCATGTAAATATGCCTAATTACTATAGTAAGTTAATGGATTACAGTGCTCAGTATATGCAAGTACACCCCTACATGCTGTTTTTAATAGGATGCTATACAATATTATATTTGTGCATATACATTAGATTATAAACATAAACATCAGAAAATTTTTTTGAGCAGCAAAAGTTTTACAAAGGGTCACGTGACATTAAATATAATAATGTAAAATAATGCAGAAAGCTCAACCTAGAAATAAATGCTTTTTAAAATGTTAAAATAATTCAGATAAATTCAGCCTCGGTAAGCATAATATGAAAGTCTTTTCCAAAACAAATTTGACCAACTCTAAGCTTTTAAACTGTAACTAACTGGAGAAATCTGTGCATCCTTTGTTTTTTGGATATGCTAAATGTGCATTTGAGGTTTGCATTTAGATGCTTCTATTGTCACCACAGTCTGATTTGAAATGTGCCCGTCTTTTTCTTAGTATTGGCTTACAGGAAACTTGAACCACGCTGTAAACCAAGCTGACAATGAAGCCTCTTCACTTGCATTACCCTGCACTGTTCACCAAACCCCCTGCTGCCTGTTAGAGGTGAAGAGCAAGAGCATTGCAGGCCACTGTCAGTGTGGCCAGTCTTTCCTGTTTTTATGTGCAGCAGTTCAAGACCTTTGCAGATTTTGAAAATTCAGTGGCAGAGGTTACACAGAGGCTTTGCACGGGCCAATGTTTTGGTATCTTGTGACTGTGTGGGGTACTTTTGTTCCATCCCTGAGAGATCGTTTTCATTAGGCAAATTTTTAAAGCACCAGTGCTGTATTGAGCCATATATAAAAAAAAGGAAGTAGAAACGTAGCAGGTGATTTGGTAATCTATATCTAAGAAAGATAAAATCACATTTCTCTGAACTGCTCTTTTTTTTATTGCTGACAGATTGCTCATTATGTGCGACACTGAAATGTCACCATCAGAGTCACAGGAAGTTTATTTACCATGTTTTTGAGATTAGATGGCATGCTTTTTGCTGCAAGAACTCAGGATGATCTTCCTGTACTGATCATTTGCTCTCATACACACACACACACACACACACACACACACACACACCATTGTTTTCTGCAAAGTGTCCTGTCCGCATCAGACTCTGATAAGCTCTCTGAAACAGACCTCTTCGTGAAAGACAGGGAAATGAGGGCTTCCTGTGTCCGCTGTCACACGCAGCCCTCTCTCATTTTTTGTTTTAATGGAAGCCCTCAATTATTTTGTTATAATTACAAAAAGATTCAATTAAAAGATTAGAGTGGCGGACGAGGAAGGAGAATAAAAAACGATACTTGATTGATTCAATGCGCGTATGTGTGTGTGTGTTGGAGGAAATAGGAAAAAGTGGTTGGCTGTTAGGGATTCACACTGATTGCATCCTAGTCCAACAATAGAAAGATACCCTGTTAGTATTCAACAAGCCACGAATGATGCTTTTACTTGTTGACTAGTTATTCACTCTTGCATTTTATTGCAAGGACATTTTAGCCTGCAAGCAAGTGCTTTGTCTAGCGTTTGAACTAAGGATTATCACTTCTGATGTTTCATAGCCGTCAGTGTTCTTGTTGTTGTTTTGCTTGTGATGTGCTTATAAACTGTATAAATATTCACCATTGCACCAGTCTGTGTACGATTACTTAGTATGGCAAATTTTATAACACTGTATAATTAAGCACTGATGATAAAATTCTGGGGTGACACAGTGGCTCAGTGGTTAGCACTGTCGCTTTACAGCAAGAAGGTCACTGGTTTGAGTCCTGACTGGATCAGTCAGCATTTCAGTGTGGAGTTTGCAGGTTTCTTTCAGGTGCTCCGGTTTCCCCCACAACCCAAAGACATGCAGTATAGGAGAAATGAATAAGCTAAATTGGCCTTAGTGTATGTGTGTGAATGACTGTGTATGGATGTTTCCCAGTACTGGGTTGCAGCTGGAAGGGCATACGCTGCATAAAACATATGCTGGATAAGTTGGCGGTTCATTCCACTGTGGCAACCTCAGATGAATAAAGGGATTTATGAAAATGAATGAATGATAATAAAATTCTGACTCATGAGCCTATAATTATTTTCATGTTACAGCAAATAACTGATACATGGCTGATGTTATGTTGGGTTGTAATTACACTAAAAGTGTGTAATTACACATTTGGCAAGTGCTTTTATCCAAAGCAACTTCAGGAAAAATCAACATAAGTAATAAATGATAAAGAGTTAAATAAACAAAAGGAAGTGCTAGTAATACGAGGTTTCAGATATTGTTTAGGGAAGCTAGAATAGGACACAAAAGTGAAAGCATATAGATTTTTTTTTGTTGCTGTTGAATTTCTTAAATCTTATACAGTATTTGGCATTATGGATGGGTTAGGATGGTAAAGAACAGTGTATGAGAATGTTCTGCAAAGTGGATTGAATGCTTAAACACTGCAGTGTACAGCGTAAAAAGATAATAAGAATCAAGTTAACAGTGTTGAATCTAT